GGTGTTTTGGGTCATTGCACCATATTCCTCCTGAATATCATCGCATTTGCCGATTCGTGGCCCTGTGAGAATCAATCATGGGTATTCAAGGATCAAGAGGAGGATATCGATCGAGCGTTCTCCTGGATCCACCTCCAAGCCTCTCATCAGAAGACCCTCCGAGTTTATGACAACTTTCTCGACGACAGCAAGCTCTATAGAACAATTTTCAGCGACGATGCTCCTCGTCGAGATGTCCGCAATCGTATTGCTCCTTGCCCTGTAAAGATTTCACCATCTTTCGCGCGATTGTGTCACATTGATTCTGCCACCACATCGGACACGAACAAGTATTATCACGCCCTTTGCGCACTCCAACATGTGTTCGAGCTGGACAAATCTACATTTCAAGCACAATCATTTGGGATATATATGGCATTCCTCGTGGATATGAAGGAGGACTTCCTCGGGCTGCTGCGTGGCAAAGATGAACGAGCTCTACTCATCTTCGTCTATTGGCTCTGTGAGCTTTGTCATCTAGAGCTGTGGTGGATGGTTGAACGTGCTCGTAATGAATGTCGTGCCATCTGTTCATTTCTTCAGGCTACAGCCGTGGATGACGTTCGACGCCTGTTAAAGTATCCTTCTACTGTTGTCGAGATTGGTTTTGAACGTAAATTCTGAAGAAGATGTCAATTGATAAACAAAGTCTTGGATTAATAGATGCATAAATTGGCAATACACGCGGTAGACACACATTGCGCAGAGACTTCTGTGACGTGAGAATTATCCCAAGGATGCGAGGTGAAAGTTGCCTCATTTTGCAAAGTTTATTCACGTCCACATGAAATCTCGCCTGATGGCATAAAGATAGATCACATAGCCAATAAACCTCTTCAGGGCAGTGTCACTTGTTTACTCTGCCGGTTTCTTTCCCCATACCACCTTCTGCCAGTAGTAGACATGGTGCTCAAGGGAACGAAGCTCTCGCCTCAAGTGTGCTATATAGACATTTACTTGCTCCTTCGACCACCCTAAAGCGGTCGTCAAGAACAGAATAAAGCCCTCAACGTCCGAGAGCAGAGCGTGCTGGGAGTAAATACCCATCTCTTTTAGTCTAGGATCAGAGGACCAGGCACCGCTCGGGACCTAAAAAAGTCCATTAGCTCCAAACGCAGTAAGCAAATGCATAATGACGAAGTTCTTGCCTTGATCATCTTCTCCTGAATGTCGACAAATCCCGCCTTCTCCATCGCTTTCCTTTGAATACCATCGTCTACAATCGTAAAGCTACGACCGATGGCTTTTCCGCCTTCCACAAATAGTGGATACCATTGGGCAATAGCGTCTTTATTTGATAGGGTATTATCATCCGAATGTACTTGAGGTGATGCTTCATAGCTTTCTAAATAGCCACCCGGCTTAAGCACTCTGAAGGCTTCCTTGAAGAAGCCGTCCCAGTCTACAATACATCTGAGCAAATAGCGGATGTGGACGAAGTCGAAGTCGTCCGCCTGGAATGTCCATTCGTGCGTGCAGTCTTCAATTTCGCTATACAAATTTTGAGACTAGTGAGCATCATTATTGTTCTGTGCAATAAATAGACAGCAGACTCACAATTTCACATTTGGAGGAACCCAGCTAGGTTGGATTGGGGAGACGTCTGTTCCGATTACCTCGCAATCTGGGAACTTGTCTGCAAAGTCCCTACTAAGAGTCAGTGAATATGGTCGGGTCTTCACAAGGGCTGTAAGATTCACATCACCCAGATTCCTAGAAACAAATAAATATGATGTTAGTTAAAAGCTTCAGAAGATGGTATTGCACGGGCATCACAAAGAACATTACCTGTGCCAGTTCCTATGTCAAGGGCTTTCTATGGCGCGACTTAGTTGTAGGTGAAACAATCCAGTGTCGCAACAGACCTTGGGGTTGGTGATAGGTGCGCAGAAGAGCTTGCCTTCGAGGCATAATTGAAACAAGTGATGTCTGCGAATTGTAAGTCTGGAGTGTATCGCCTTCTTCTCTGACTTGATAGTTTACAATATATCAAGAGCGCCGTTGTGACCTGCATCATTAGAACCCCTCGTAAATTATGACGTTAGTGCTCTTCCTATACAAGTACAATCAAAGACACAAAATTCGCACAGACTGAGCAAGAAAATATGTCTGTTGCCATGGTCGTATTGTAACATACCAATACTGAGCGTTGCCTACCTCGCTATGAAATGTTCGACCCTGGATAGTTCTATATCGGAGAATCGATGAGGTGATAGATGCCGTCGTGCTAACTTTGTCATCGCTAAGGGAGGAGTCGGCATCGTCCTCATTTTCCTGGCGCAAAATAGTCAGTTCGCGAGAGAGCGCAGAGTAGTAGTATCGCTAACAGGAGGGTTCGCAGTCCAATGCTCGGCAGGAAGAAGTATCGGGGAATTCAGCTCGGACCGCTCGGGTACAGGGTGGTTCCCAGGGTCGGTCGCAATCCCTGTGTAAGCCATGACCTCTATTTGATCGCCACCCTTTGCAACTCCGGGCTTGGTTTTGTTTCTAGGGTAGTGTCACAGTTGCTTGAGGGAATAACGATATGAAGCACCTCCAAAAGATTCCTACAATTTTCCAAATGCTTTCTCGAATATGATGAACACAGCAGCCCAAAGAGATAAGAGCGACGAGCTGTCCGACCTTTGAGGGGTTACATGACCAGGGTCCTTTCTTCAGCGTATCGGAACTGAGGCCGGTTAACGCTTTACCAGGTCCAGTAAGTTTGTGATGTATGCATACAACATTTCATTTATCAACTTCCGCCTTAGGCCGTATTCCTTCATAAAGGGAGTTCCTTCAGTCAGGCTAGGGAGGTTTTCTTGGACTTGCAGGACATATGGCGCTAGCTTTGATTGATTGGAGTGATCTCCCAACCTTTTCCTTCCCTGATTACGCCAGCGGTTTACCATTTGCAATCGACTCACTAGATTCACAGCCACAGCCCGATATCGTAAAAAGTTCAGAGACAATGGCATTATTATCATGAACGCTTTTACACCAGGCTTAATCACTCCATGCTGATGTTTGCTGGCAAGCGACGCCGTGCTAGCAAGACCTTTCTCGCGTCAACATTGTGCTCAGATACAGCCCGAGGCACGAAAGATTTGGAAATCAGATTAATCAAAGGTGGGCGGGATGTTGTTGTATGTCGATGTTTACCTCCTGCATGGGCTCCGACTACACAATCTACAAATGCTAGACGAGTTTTCGTTGGCTTTTCGCCCAAAATTCTCACTTGGACATGTCGAGGGGATGCGATTTGATCATACGAGAAACTTACCAACATTTTATATTAAAAAGTAACTCCTGAATTCCTGAATTGGAATAATTGAACATCATTAGAATCTTTACCAACGAGGTTGACGGCAGCGATATGGTAGAAATGGTAGTTGTGGACAACACACGCGAAATCGCGAAATCGAGGCGAACAGGATCCGAGGCCCCCACGGCTGGAATAGCAATGGAAGTAGCCCCCTTCTATCACATGCCACGCAGATGGAATGTTCCGGCATATTCAAAACCACGCACGCTAGTGGAAATTTAAGGGACCAAGACGAAAAAGAGTCATGATCACTCCCGCCCACGTTATTCGTGACGTGAAAGGTGCGAGGTGGTGTTTGGATAGACATGGGTACTGGTAGCACATTTTCCATTCCGATCAATTCCGCGGCCATACTTGCGATTGTCTTATTGCACGAGCACCATGTGAAGACTGCCTTAAAATCTACTCGATAATGTGTTCACACCGGATAGCAACTTACACACGTGCTTGAGATCGAGATATAAACTAAAACTCAGCGGACAAGATGAATGATCTTAGAAAACATCGAACACAAAAGTTGTAAGTATTTGAGGCATTTGAAAATCTAAGGTCTTTGAAAATTCAAACTCTAATAGAATAGTCCCGTTTACCTATAATATGGGTCGGAATCACGGAGTCGTTTGTGGCAGAGAAGGTACGAAGCTAAGCCAATTACGACGATGAACAACAGCTATGCGTGAGGCACGAAGCTCGACGCAACTTTCTTGAAGAGAGCATTTCATAGATATGAGAGACGTTTGAACCCGAACTTCAAGAGATTTCGGTATGTGGGGAAGCTAAGGGATGTCGACGGCCCCTCTCCGGGCCAGTGTGTGGGGGAAGTACGAATCCAATATCACTTCGGCTGAATAAGTCGGCATGGGGGAGATCTGGGGAAGCTGTTAAGTGCTGGATCGGTCGCCCTCTTTTTTGTTGCATCGGAATTGCGTGTCAATTGCGGATTTGTATTACGAGTTCGCACGCCCTTCGCAGTGCGATTTGTCTATCATCTGAAAACACCTTCTGCTGTGCCTTATCTCGAATTGAATATTTCATATCAAGTGGCAATGGCTTTGGAGGTATCGAGAGCTGTAGATCCTGGGAAGGCTGCAGGTACAGGTGTGTCCACTCTAGGACATATCCGTCTTCGAGACGAGACCACAAACCATATCATTCTCATTCCCTCGCCATCCGATGATCCCAAAGATCCTCTCAACTGGTATGTCACTTTTCTGCACTATTTGAATCTTTGTCTAAAATTTGCCGTATAGGCCAAGAGCTTTTAAGCTTTACACTGCTGTCGCAGTTTGCTTCGCCATGATACTGTGCAACTTCTTAGCTGCCGGCCCTACCCTAGCGATCTTACAAACAGCGCAAGACTTCTTTCCCGACTGGCAAAAGACTGGCATGGCTTCCCCCATTGCCAAAACAGCGTATTTCTTCAACTGCACTGCCTTGTTTCAAGGACTCGGTAACCTGGTCTGGATGCCACTGATCAACAAATACGGGCGCCGCCCCGTCTATGTAACAGCCTTCACGATGTATCTTATTACCGCCGTGTGGTGCAGCGTCGCAAAACAATACGCCAATTTCCTCGTCGCTAGAATTGTGATGGGTATTGCCGCAGGTGCCGGCGAGTGTCTAGCACCAATTACAATTGCAGACATATTCTTCCTCCATGAACGAGGTGCAGTTACAGCGTGAGTTTCGATTGAATCTAGCATTGTATGTGCATATACATCCTCCAGATATCTGACTTGTCCTATCTTCTCTCAGCATGTACAACGCGTCTTTGAACCTCGGTGTTGCCTTCGGTGCCATTGTCGACGGCTTCATTGTCAAATATCACCCCTGGCGGTACATATACTACGTCGCAATTGCCCTCATTGGCGGTGTAACATTGATTGTGTATTTTACTTTCCCAGAAACAGCCTATAATCGCAGTCCAGACACACACGGCATCACTACAACTTTACATGCCGAGTCTGGGGCTTATCACATGAAGATGCCCGACGAGGAAGGCAACATCCAGCACGTCGAGGTGAGACCCCGTCAGCGGGCTAAGACCCGCGATTACTGGATACAAGGTCTCGGACTTTACCACGGAACTTTTACTGAAGAAACAATTTGGAACATGACTATTCGACCTATCCTTCTACTTGCCTTGCCACCAGTTCTATGGGCCACTCTCGTCATGTCTGTTACCATTGGGTTCATCACAGCCATCACATCCAACGTGTCTCCGGCATTCTCCACCGCTTACGGGTTTGAAGCATGGCAGTCTGGCTTATGCTTCTTTGCCGCCGTGATAGGTGCTCTTTTAGGCATCCTTTTTGGCGGCCATCTCTCTGATTGGATCGCGGACTACTTTACACGTCGCAATGGTGGCATTCGTGAGCCAGAGATGCGCCTTCCTGCCATCATGATAAGCGTCATCACCGGTCCTCTAGCTTTAGCACTGTACGGGGTTGGCATCAACAATGGACTGCACTGGATGGTACCAACTCTCGGCATTGGTTTAAGTATGATGAGTAACGTTCTTTTTCACTTAATAAAACTTTTGGCTGACTCCAAGGATCGTTAGTCAACTTCACCATTACGCAAGCGACAAATGTGTCCTTGGTCTACACAATCGACAGTTATCGACCAATTGCTGGTGAGATTGTTGTAACGCAACTGGCTTTCAAGTCTGCGTTTGGATTTCTTCTTGGCTTCTACACCAACCCTTGGGTTGACAAGCATGGTTACAGCGTCGCGTATGGCGAAATGGCCGCCATTTGTGGAGGCGTGCTTGTTTTCTGGATTCCACTGTGGATCTGGGGCAAAAAGCTCCGCCAACTTACCTTGAGCTGGAAGATTATGAAGCACGCCCGCTGGGATGTCGACAGAGAAGTGGGAGAGTAATATGAGGAGAAAGGCATAGTCATCTACAGGAGAGTATGGCTGCCCTTTGGACCACTGAAGCAGATATCGGTCTTTTGACGTGAGAAAGGCTAGTGTATCTGCAGAAATTAGTCCAGTTTAGCCAAGATAGCGATGATTAGTCTTTAAAGAGTGTCTGAATTCTCTCATGGCTTCGGTCATTCGCATCGTGATTTTTCAGTACAGTTGTGAAAGCGTTGTAACACTATGGGCTAAATAGCAGAGCAAAGAAAGCAACGATAGCAAGAATTTTACTCCTAGGACTGACAAATCTCAATTCTTATTGATTGGTTCATCAGCCTCCGGTCCATTAAATCAATGCTACCCGCATCTACGTCTAGGGTCAAACATGAGATACCGGTGATCCCGGGAGCCCGCCACCAAGTCCGCTGATACTGTGGGGTAATCTGGGGCAGCTTCTTCATCCCTGTGCCGCCGATGTAATACGATGAAAAAATTACCACAAATGGACTAGCCGTGGCTTGAGAGCCTCCAAAGCCAAGGCCTTGCGGGGTTTTGCCTGTAGTGAACAACCATAACGACAACTCCTCCCGGAGTAGTCACGTATCTTTGAAGGAAACGTGGTTAGATTGGTGCTCTCTTCGGATTGATGTGAGCAAAATGTATTAGTAGGATTTGTCTTGCATTGCAGCCCTCAAGGAAAGCGCAAAGTCATTGGCCGAGAAGGGTCGTACCAGATTATGTCGGATATGAACTACGATGTAAATCCTCGGTCCGGAGAGATCGAGCAAACCCAAATTAAGTTCAGATCGGGACGCTATGATAGGTCATCATCTCTCACATCCAGTGCTCTGCTAGTCCTAGAGACTGTACAACTTGGCTCGAGACCGACAGTTGGCCTCCACTATCCGATAATGTTCGTTCACAGGACACTGGCGTTTTAGATATTGCCTTCTTAGAGGTTACTAATACGTGAACCTCTTACTTAGTCCGGTAATTTAGTACAAAGAATAGGTCGACGGGTTTGTCATCAACAGGTAAGATTTTATTTGTCGATTATATATTTGTTTTCAAAATACACCAGATTTCCTTCATGTTCGTGCGAGTGACAAGTAGCAAAGCTTGGTTAAGCTACTAAGAAGAATTATAGCTAACAAACAGTTACTTTATGGTTTTTGGCAATACCCTATCGAGCTCACTCTCTTTACCCAAAGAAAGTTTAATAGGGACAACCAATTCTGTTGAAATATCTTGGCATTTTGGTATTCTGTCATTAAAAATACCATACGTCACAATTACAACAGTTTAGGGAAACTCGGAATGTGGGGTTGGTCTCTGTAAGGTCTATGAGTTTCTGGAATCCCATAAGCGTATTGTGATTGCTATTTAAGCGAGACTTTTTCCTGGTCTCAAGCTGGTTATTTCTTTATGCTCGGGTCAATGTTAAGACATACTAATGTCTTGTTCTTCTCGAAATTTACCCCTGAAAGATAGATTACTTGGGTATAGTCATTTCCTAAGGTTACCTGACCGGCAGTCACCATGAGGCATATTTTGAGCAAGACAGCGACAGTTTTCGTCCTCGCTGTGGGGGTGCTTGCGATGCCGGCTATTTCACCAGTTGGCAGGAGCGAAGCAACCACATGTCCAAGTGGTTGTTCTCGTAGCTGTATGGCGGCGATTGTTAGCAGTATCTTGGACTCCATGGTGGCCCACAATCCTGACATCCTCCCACTGGCTCCAGATTATGAGGCGACCGAGAACTCACATCCGGCAGCACTGGGCATGATGACTTTATGGCGCACTGTTACTAAGGCTGGGCCGCCCAGTCTACTGGCAATTGATACCACGAGCGGCTCGGCATACTTTGCCCTGGATATTAGCGAAGGAAATGACCAGCAGCAGTCAGTTCTTTGGGCACGAATCAAAGTAGTCAACAATCAGATCACAGAGTTGGAGCTGTATGTTAATCGCTCCCGCGGCGACCATGGTTTCTCCTTTTCAGCTGAGGAGCTTCCAGAAAACTACAAGCGTTGGATGTCTCCGCCCGCAGATCGCCAGAAGGCAACCAGGGCACAGCTAGAGGAGCTTAGCGAGGCGACTTTCAACCCGAATAGCACCTTTTCAGTAAGCGTTGCATCGGATTGCCAATTTACCGAAGAGGGCTGGAGCGTGATTGATCCCGGGCCAGATGGCAACGGTTCGACAGCTGTACTTGGATGCAGCTGGCCCGAGGATCGCCCCGCTGACTCAAAGGCGCGTACCAACCTAGTCATTGATGAGGAAACCGGCATCGTCGTCACTGGAGGTCTGATCCCTGGTAAGGTCTATCCCTACGGGAAGATTTCTGCCTTCATTCCAGACGACATGAAGCAGGCGCAGGAACAGCAGGACGAGTGGTTGGCGAAGAAGCAGGCTGAGGGTACTCTCTCGCTACTAGTTCCTACCGCAGCAATTGGTGAAACTCTACAAGTTCTTCAATACTACAACAGCACACTCCAGGGCCAGCAAATCATGCTCTATTTGAGTGGCCCTGGAATGCAATCAGTCTGGGTGCAGTAATGCTTTCTGGCGTGAGAACTACTTAGTTGTAAAAGCTATAAGCTTAGACCTACCGAGAATCTTGTTAGTTGCTCAGAGCAACTTGACTAATCATATACTGGTAGCCTTTTGCTGTTGTCATCGTTATCTATGATTCATTGTGAATCTCGTGTTATCATAACACTCTAGGCAATAAGGTGTGCTTGGAGGTGAATCCAGCCATGGTGCGCTGTAGGGTTATACGTAGTTAGTGATAGCTGTGGCCTGATCACACCCAGGCTACGCACCCCGGCAGCTCAGCAGCCTGCATTGGCGTTAACTTTAGCTATTCCAGGATGGTGCGAATAACGTTAGTTGTAACAAACAGTAGACTTGCACGAGTTTTCTCAGCACCCCTGTCGATGTCTAAGGTAATCATTAGAGATTTGCAACATCAGAGGGAAAAGCTTAGATGAAAGCGTGAAACTTGGGTCATCTGCTTAGCTTCATTGTTCTCAAACAAATCTCGTACTAGCGGTAAAGTATGAAGAACCTCGTTTGGAATCGCTCAGGCTACATTATAGCTCATTTTCAACTTCTACTACTGAATCGTGACGAAATAGCGGGGGTTATATGCTAAGGTTCATGGGCGGCGTCATGGTAGGGCATCACTATCCACGACAGCTGGTTTTGGTATCCCAGAATACGATGTAAGACTTAGATATGACGTATCTATGGGACCCAAAAGCTCCCAGTGTCATCGCAGAATTGCTCTTACTTATTTCGGAGGTATATGGTTATTCCGATGGGGTCGGAATAAGAACACTAAGTCGACGCACCTTTTTACTTCTTCCTCAGCTCTTAGAACGTGGACTCTGAACTAGAAACAGCCGGTGACGTGGAAGCCCTCATTAGTATTTTCGACCTCTTGTTATCTTGGTGTACAGAGCACCAATCAGAAGTGGCGACGCAGCATCGAAGGGTTACATTGTTAGGTGCAATATCAGCCAGATCTAACAGATCTAACAATTGGCGCCTCTTAGCGCCGTATCCCCTGTAACAGCTCTCCCGACCTCCACACACTACCAAACACCATACCGGCAAGTAGCGCAGTCCTGACAACAGGCGCGAGTACACCCTTAGGAGATTAATTCTTATCTGGACTGCTCTTCTGTTGATGCTGGTGTATTGCTGTTAGGTGACTGCTAGTATATAGTATGCGCGCGCCAAGCGGGGCTATCACCCCTGAACCACTTGAAGTACTAGGTAATGGACCAGGTATTGGATGGGAATCGGGTTATTCTCGGTCAAGAAATAACTTCAGTGTGACCAAATAAGGTAGAGACCACTCGAGCTAAAACCCTTCTTGTCCGATGTTCCGGGCTCCATATAACATAACATAACAGTTAACTGCGTGTGATGCGTCCGGGCTATGTAAACTCCCCCCCGGGCCACGTATTCATCACTGTTCTAGTCAAACTTTGGTTATAATGCCAGTTCAGGTCACCTCAAAATAGACAAAAGGTAACATAGACTACTGAATCATTTTAGAGTAATCCTAGCTATCTAACACTATAACAAAAAAACAACTAACTGCATGATATGTCCGAGCATTTAACAACCGTCAGACACATTGTTCTCTTAGAAGTTACATGACAGAGGCATCAAAATCTGGTCTTAATACATAAGGTCCGTCTATAACCAGAAGATAGACAGTTCAAATAGAACTCATCAAACGTTTTCTCTCTATAACTTGAAATCAAGAAGACATGCCATTCATGATGCACCAAATTTGCGGTGTCATTTGTGACAGGGTATTTTCTCATCTTCACAACCCTGTCTTAATTGACAGACTCTTTCAGACTGAATCCAAATGGACATGCGTATGTACCTGGACCTAAGCCCCGGCGAAGTGGAATAATTCACCGACTAACAAGAGAAGCACATATGTTCGACAAAGTGCTATTCCGTCAATACGAAGTGCACCAATTGCCAGCATGAACGTTGTGGCCTGTGTGATTAGATAGGTTATAACCGAGAGGGTGCGGATGTTTCAGCCTCAAAACAGTGAGATCGTGCTGAACAACGTGTGGCGGATTGAATGTATCCTACAAACCATTCCTTTCTGCACTGTGGTCTTCTCAAGGGAAGCACATTCAAAGAGCACCAGAGAATACTCTGTTTAGACATTCTTATCATTACCTTATAAATTACTCATACTCGTCTCATTCTTTTGTTCCGGTAGCTCATTCAGTGAGAGTGTACCAGATCCATTGTCATACCGCATGATCACGCTACCCTTCCGAGGCGTACTATCGAAATGAAGAGGTCCGTATCCCTAAATCATGTTTGTGTTGCAATGAAACCCACAAAAAATCAACTTGTCCGACATCCGCGCTGGTGACTTTATTGCTTGAGTTTATCACCGAGATGCAAAAGCCACGTTTAGCCTGGCCATGTTCCAGGCATTGAGAGAAACTCCTTTGATTCTGCTTCCTCTATTCTCCAGAATTCACCAGCCAGTCTGTTACATTCGGTATCGACGATCCAATCAACATGCCAATCCTGTGGCGTGTTCCCAAACTCGAGGCTGCAAAGTCGAACCGGTAAAGCTTTCCTTAAGAAGTCCTGTTGAGCAAGACGGTGTTTACGATGGGAGAGCGCGAATTTGAAACTGAAAGCATTAGAGGCGAAGAAGTTCGCCTCGTCTTGCCCATAGCAAGTCAGATCCACCCCACACCATGCGAGAACCTCGAGCCACTGTCGAAGGGCGCGTTGCACCACTATCTTATGTTCTTCGAAGACCTTTTGAACAAGGCCAATTCCTGTGACCCCTCCCCTATACTCATCTATAAAGATACCCTTGAAAAGCGAAAGCAAGGGCGTGCCAGTCCATTCTTCATCGCAGATAAGATTAGGAGTGCAAATAGAATACCCGTGCCTAACACGTTCGACGAGACTGAGAACGTTCGCTCTTTTTGCCCAACTAACAATTTGCCTAAGAAGTGGCTTCCAAGGTGGTTCTTCCACCTTACTCTTTGAGATTGCAGTCTGAAAGCTTCTGCTAGCCCTCCCAAACGCAATTGCAGCCGAATGTATCAGGGAATACTCATCGCGCGGAGTCATTTGAAGGTCCATAGGCTGTAATATTTTGTCTTCGCGAAGGAGGAACCGGAGCACCTCGGCATCTGGGTGTGGCGAGTCATAGCCACTGAAGCAATATATCCGGACTGCTTGCCGTCTTTCTTGGATAGACATCGTGAAGTATGAGGGAGCAGCGCGCTTCTGAAATTGAGTTATGAGATATAAGTCATTTGTCTCAACTGAGCAGCCATAGATCAGAAATCGACAACTTTCCGCTAATGTCGAACTGCTTTCATAACTTTGAAACAAGTCCATGAGTTCCAAGGCCTGTAGCTTGGTTTTGCAATAGAGTAGTGGACTCGATAATGAAAGCTGCCTTGGAGTACTGCCTGACCAGTCAGAATGATCGGATTGGGTGATATGATATTTGATGCAGAAAATAACTTGGCGAAGAGATAATTTGCAACGGCGGTTTTGATATGGATGAACGGCAACTTAGACTCACAAAGAATAACCTAATTCCTCATCTATACACCACTCCAAACCCATGGAAAGTAATTCTTTACAGATCAATGCATGATTTGTGCCCGCAGCATACTACTCAATGTTGTAGTCTTTGATACAAAAGCTTTGGTAAACACAACTCACATGCAGCAAAGACAAGCCTTTCTCATCGCGATCAAAGGGTGATGCATCCCGCCGCAAGAACATGGTGCGAAGTCCAGCAAGATCACCATCTCGAATCAAAGAGAAAACTTCGCATTGGGAGTGCCGATGGTGGTACTGTCTTAAATTGAACTGTCGCAGATTTGATGATGTGACCACCATCTCAAAATCCCATGCAATACTGGAGAGCCATGACGGAGTCCACAGAGATACTCTTCGATACTTAGCCGGTGGATTTATTCCTCTTCTCAAAACTTCCGAGGACAAGGCATTGCAAGTTCCAGTAGTGTCTTCGTCTTCATCCTTTTCTAAGGATTTACTTCTCCCGTGAGAGGGGCATTGAGTTTGCTTGAGTAAAAGTAGCATTTCCGTGGAGATTGCTTGAGTCCGGAGAGATTGATGCCTAATAAATGTTAGGAATCTGCGTACACAATTCATCAAACACTTACAAAAGATTATTTACAATGTAGATTTGCAAAAGTCTCAATGAATTCGTCAGCCTTTTTTCCAAGTGTTTAACTTCTTTTTCTTTCCAGAGGACTTCGAAGGTTGCCGCTCTCCGCTTAAATCCTTTAGGCCGCTCTAGCTTGCGCTTCAAGTGGCTGACGACATCCGACAGAGCTTCTAATGCATTCTCGCAGTGTTTCAGAATGTGAATAGCTAGCGGCGTATTACATTCAGTGTGGCTGACCGCGTCCAGCCTATATGCCGTGTCAATCTCAGTGAGAGTCTGACCAAAGAAAAGAATTTCTTCCATAAGCTCTTGTATTTCTTGAGGAGCTCTGCTAAACTCTTGCTGAATGGTTCTGAACTCGTTGATCACACTGCAGATTTGACCTGTAATCTGAGTTCCTGCAACAATGCAGCCAACAATTTCAGCCATAACTGAGCAAGACTATGGTTTTGAGCTCGCCGGTGATCATGTAGAAGTATGACAGTGTGAATGTTTCCAAAGAATTAAACAGAGACACTAATAGCAGAAGGAATAAGGATGAAGAGTTTGGGTTAGTCACAAAATATGAGGCTAGATGGTGTGACGTGTACAATATAGGCTGGCTAAAAGAGTATCTGAGCCCAATCTTGCCCAACTCACGAGGATGAATCGAAGACAAGATTGCCATTCGTCGCCTTGTTTTTCCTTTCGCCAAGGTATCAAATTCTATTACATGATTGGTGGCAAGTCACTCAGCTGGGAATCCCGACACGCACACATTGAGTTGAAGGCACGGCAAGGCGCAGTTACAACATGTGCAAAAAGTTATCACGTCATGAGCAGGCTTCTTGTTAGCCGT